GCCATAGATAATCAACAATTAATGTTTTAAATATAATCTAAATGTTAAATAAGTGTTTGAATGGAGAATATTTTTGTAATTTTACAGAAGAGAATGGCAAAGTGTTCGGAAAAATAGAACTCGTGAGACCTCTGCCATGGATCCTCTTCCTGCCAGGATTAGTAATTTTGCGTATCATCAGATGTGGACTGAACGTGGGCGCTTTTATTTTAGGCTACCCTCAAATACAGCCGAGTGGAATGGTATGAAATTTCTACGTGATAAAAATCGTTATAAGCATTTTAATAGGACAAATAACACAGCACGAGAGTAATTAATAAATTTCCGCAATTGAGAAGTTCTTAAACTTGATAACTTTTTCCTGAATATTCTTGAATAATTTACAATGTACAGTGGTTTCTAATTTTAATATCCTGAAGCGGTTACTGTTTTCACGAAATTTTTGTGTAACTTGCGATGCATAATGAGGATTTTGTATAAAATTGTGAATAGGAAAGGCTGCTAGTAAATTTTGATCGAAATCTGTTCACAGGTGAAATTTATGCAAAAAAGTCGCAGACGATTAAGAGCTATGAACACGAAAGCAGTGAAAGCTGCTAGGCGTAAAACGAGTAACAACAAGGTAAGTCAATGTACTTTTATTTTCGTTGCACTTACACTTCTTCGTATGTTTGTGTCCAAATATCATCCCTTAGAAATTTGTAGTAGGTACTAGTAAAAAACTTGATGCATGAATTTTGAAAGATTCTAGTTTGTAATTGTGTCTACCGATTGCGTCGTGAAAATGTTTTCAGTAATTAATGTAGTACTCGATGAATGTAGCCAGCACCTTTTCTCAAATCGGTTAGTCCATAGGCATATAATTAAAATTAGCACGATAATAGTCTCGGTGATGGATGTAGGACAAGAGGTTGACGATGATCGAGGCCAAGAAGGCCCTGATCAGATCCATCAGATTGACTCTGTCGACACTGTCTTGTCTGGACACGTCCAAATCGTCACCGTCACCTCCTCCGACGAAAATTCACATAAGCAACCTGGATTTCGAGCCGGTAAGCAAGGTAATGTAATAACTTATGTACTTACACTACTCGTAGTAGATTTTATGTGTACGATATGGTAATGATGTAGTATTCAAATATTTTCGAATATTTGAATTTTGAAATTTCTGAACTTTCAAATTTTCGGATTCCTATATTTCTGAATTTTCAAATTTTCGGATTCTTGAGTTTCTGAATTTTCAAATTTTCGGATTCTTGAGTTTTTGTACTTTCTAATTTTCAGATACTTGAATTTTTGAATTTTCAAATTTTCGAATTCCTAAATTTCTGAATTTTCAAATTTTCGGATTCTTGAGTTTTTGTACTTTCTAATTTTCAGATACTTGAATTTTTGAATTTTCAAATTTTCGAATTCCTAAATTTCTGAATTTTCAAATTTTCGGATTCTTGAGTTTTTGTACTTTCTAATTTTCAGATACTTGAATTTTTGAATTTTCAAATTTTCGAATTCCTAAATTTTGTAATTTTCACATTTTCGGATTCTTGATTTTTTGAATTTTCAAATTTTCAGAATTTTGAGTTTTTG